GGCGGCCGGATTGCAAATTTGGACATACAAATTCCGAAAACACTACATCTACACCGATGGCGGTTTCAACGGGCTCAGCGTTGTGATTCGATGTCGTTTGTAGAGTTTCAAGGTGAAAGACGAAAGCGATTCCAGAAGAGAAGACAAGGAAGATTAAAAGACATGGATAGAGAAGGGAGGAGAGAGGAGCGGATAACACAGATAGAGTGGGGGGCGGGGAACAAAAGGGCTGGTCAGGGAATTAATTAAGGGTATGTATGGGAACTCGCTTTAGATTGTTTGCTTAAAATGGAAAGAGGACCATCATTTTGGGACAACCCAATAAGGAAATACAGGACCATCATTCTGGGACGGAAGGAGTAGTATTTTAGATTTTAGTCTTTCGAATGCTAGCTTTAATCATCATGCAATTAATTTTAGTATTTAACAATTGTATATTTTGTATTGTAACAATACAAAAACACGGGGTCACGGGGATGAGGTTTTATTTTTGGGCTTTTCCCTTCAATATTAGAAAATTTAAAGTGATTTCCAAAAATGTGACCATTTTTAAAAATGACAAAAATGTGTCTAAGAAGGTCACATATTTGGAAAACATGATGTCACTATCATTTTTTTGTCACTGTCGGACTGTTATGTCACTATTTTATGTCACTGCCGCCACCGTCGGTCACCACCAACTGACTCCGCCGCCGGCCATATGACACCACCACAATGACACCGCCGCCGGCCACAGTGACGCCGACAAAGTGACTCCGGCCAAAGTGACGTCGCTACAGTGACACCGATACAATGACACACTATCTCCGATGTTCCATCCATCCATCCCCTGCTGCCCAAAACCCCCTCAGTCCCGTGCCAACCCCACCCCAGCCTGCTGCTGCCGCCAGCAGGCAGCCACCACCGCTGGACGCCAATCCCAACCCTTTTCCTACACCAACCCCAAACCCCTTTCCAGCATACCTCAGCCCCATCTCCACCCCCTAACACCACTGTCACCGGCGCCCCTGCTACACCGGCCAGCGTCGCCATCCCAGCCCAACCCGCTTCCCCAAGTCCCCAGCACCCATCCCTTTCACAATCGATGCCCCACCAATTCACCCAGCCCCCACCCCTCCCCCAACAATCTTTGCATCATACCATCATTCCCGCATCCAATTTCAGATTCGACCATCGGCGGAACCAGACTGGTTCATATGGTCGCAAATCTGAAGGTCGTTTCCGAACCCTAGCCATCGTAGCGAGGAAGACGAAGATCGGGAGAGGACGATGCATATGAGGGGGATGCCGAAGAGTAGGTGCAGGGAGATGGCGACAACCAAGCAGTGAAGGCGGTCCGGCTGCTCTGTCCGCAGCGGAGATGGAAGCTGAGCGACGATCTATTTCCTATCGGAGATTGAAGTTCTGCATCTTCGATCTATTTTATCTCGAGCTTTGCGTCGCAGAAGAAAGAAAACAAAAGCATGGGAGGATTTTCAGATCTGGTCACTTTTTTGTCAACTAGGATTTAAGTCATATTTTTGTCTAATAAGAGTTGATGAGTAATATTTTTGCCATTTTTTCTTTATTTTTTGCTTCTAAACTATTGTTGATCTCCTATTCATTTGATGTATTCATTCAAGTGATCAAATAATGTTTTTATTTTTTGTAAAATACAGGAAATATACGTTTTATTCAGGAAGTGAAAGTTTTTTTCCTTTTTAAACAGAGCGACATTATTTTTCGTTTTAAACACGTTTTTTGTTCAAAAAAACTGCACGTGTTTAAAACGCGTTTTAAACACGTGTTTATAAGCCTAATTCACCTTAAAACGTGTTTTAAACACGTGTTTATAAGCTTAATCTATTTATATATAAGAAAACAAATAGCTCATTAAAAGACATTTATACCATTAAATAAATTTACGTGTCCCTCAATCCTATTTTTTCTCCATTCCTATTCTAATGCCACACGATTTCACCATTTTTCTCCATTTCACATCACTTTCACTTGATCATTGAAACACAAATAAAATCCCATATTATTTTAAAGTCTTATATCTTTTTTATTTATATTCTGATTATCACAAAAAATATATCAAGTTTTATAATTTTTTATTAGCTTTCATATGACACCAATATTGCATATATAAAAATAAAAAGTAATTTAGCACTTATTAAAACTTACTCCCTCCGTCCCTTAAAACTTTATCATCTTTCCTTTTTGGGATGTCTCAAAAACTTTGTCACTTTCTCTTTTAATCAATTATTTTGTGGTTTATGTTATTTCCCTCTCCTCTGCACAAATCTCAACTACACAGTTTTTACTTTATTATTCTCTTTATCGGTAAACTTTGACAAAGTTTTAAGAGACGGAGGTAATATGTGTTATATTGTTATAACTTTTTTATTTTTACTTTGATTGTTATAAGAAAAAGATTCTTATTTTTCATTATCTTTAATATGACATTAAAATTGAATATACAAAAAATCTATTAATTTATGTAGTTTCGAATCGTTTTTTGTGTGCACACTATTAGTCTAGAGTGAACTGTTATGTATTTTTTATTAATTGTCTTGAGTATGAGTAATAATCCTTGAAAATAACAATTTTCGGTGACTATAATTTTGTCTAAATTATATCAAAGCGACTTTTAGGAAAAACTTCTCAAATAGAATTTGTGAACAAAAATGAAACTAAATACTACGTAAAACATAAATTATAAATACCAAAAGTTAATAAGTCACAATTTTATCCATTATCCTTATTTTGTTCACAATTATGAATTATTTTTTTATTTAATACGAAAAAATGTGTGAAAAATAGAAAGTTGTTTAATAAATATTCAAAAAAAATTAATATATATATATAATATTGGTGTTATATGAGAATATAACACAAATATACTTTTCATATACTTTTTTCTTTATTTTATAATGAGAGTATATTTTAAAATACAAAATTTTCATTATTCAGTAAATTCGGCTACAACTTCATCATTTTCAGTAGATATCCAATGGAATCTAAATAACATTCTAAATGAGGAAGATGTCCAATGTGTAAAAAAACACAATTTTAATTTCTTCTAAGTGTTATAGTGTTTTCATTGTTTCTCTAATTTTTATAAAAAAATATATCAAATTTCATAAATGTTAGTATTGTCATTGTAAATTCTCTCTCTCATATGTAGTGCTTTTGGGGTATTAGAAGATAAGTTTCCTAACAATTAAGCATGAAATCTTTCTCTCTCATAAGTAGTGTTCTAAGTATAAGATAATCCGGTAAACAATTGAGCGAAAGAACTTTCTCTCATATGTAGTGCTTTGAGGTAAGATAAGTCAACTAACAATGAAATAGAAAAATTTTCTTTCTCACATGTAGTGCTTTTAGATATTAGAAGATAATCTTGCTAACAATTGAATGGAAGAACTTGATCTCTCATGAACAATTCTTATAAGTATAAGATAAGACGGCTAACAATTGAGCGGAAAAACTTTCTCTCTCATATGTAGTGCTTTTAGGTATAAGATAAGCCGACTAACAACTGAGCGGAGAACTTTTTCTCTCATACGTAGTACTTTTAGGTCATACAAGATAAGCTTGCTAATAGTTTTGCGTGAAAGCTTTCTCTCTCACATGTAGTTCTTTTTAATATAAGATAAGTTGACTAACAATTGAGCGAAAGATTTTTTTCTCATATGTAGTGTGTTTAGGTATAACAAGATGAATGGACTAATAATTGAGCGGGAGAATTTCCTGTCTCACACGTAGTGCTCTTAGGTCAAAGATAAGCCGCCTAAAACTTATGCAATAGAATTTTCAGTCTCATATGTTGTACTTTTAGGTACATAAGACGGCTAACAATTCAACAGGGGATGTTTCTCTCTCATACATAGTACTTTTATATTAGGTATGAGATAATTCGGCTAAAACAATTGAGCGTGAGGATTTTCTCTCTCATACGTAGTTATTTTAGGTATAAGAAGATAAACCGGATAAAACTTGAACGGGGGAATTTTCTCTCTCATATGTAGTAATTTTAGGTATAAGAAGATAAACCGGCTAAAACTTGAACGAGATAATTTTCTCTCTCATACGTAGAAGTGGTTTTGATTATACTAGCACAGTATCCGTGCATATAAAAATAGATTTTTTCCCTTACAATTTACTTCATTTCAAAAGTGGAGTATGATAAGTGAATATAAAAAAGCATAAATTCATTCAACAAATATTGAAAAGTGAAATATTGAACTTAATTGTTAGAGTTTTGAAAAACTACCTTAAAGAGAACTTATAATAGTAATGACTTGTGATTTTACTGATTTTACTGTACAATCAGTAACATGGATTACTGGTTTTAATACCGCGTACATGATCATTTTCATTTACCCCAGTGCCGCAAAGGCTCCCACCTACGGTGGGGTAAAGGGGGGTCGGATGTACGCAATCTTGCCCCTGTACTAAAGCACAGAGAGACTGTTTCCGGATGACCCATAGTGAAAATCCCGTCCAAAATACCGCGTACATGATAAGAAAAGAAAATCACAAGTCATTACCACTATAAGTTCTTTTTAAGGTAGTTTTTCAAAACTCTAACAATTAAGTTCAATACTTCACTCTGTTACCAACATCACTAATTATTACGTAGTAAATTTTAATTTTAATTTTAATGGATGATGTTGATTTTTTCATATTTTAATTTTCTTTTACTTTGAATATTTGTTGTATGGATTTATGCTTTTTTATATTCACTTATCATACTCCACTTTTGAAATGAAGTAAATTGTAAGAAAAAAAATCTATTTTTATATTTAAGTAGATCGTGAATAAAAGTATACATAGACCAACCGTTTTTTTCTGTACGTATGCACGGGTAGTGTGCTAGTTCATCTTAAACGTTGATTGTATACTATACAAAATTAGGGAATATGAGACTGGGGTGGGGCCGTTGGGTACTTTAGCTGAGCTCTCGGGAATGACCGATTGAGTAGTAAATTGACTTCTTATTGGCCACGTAGGATGACAGCCGTGGCAGGTCAAAAAAGAATGGTGCACATCGATTGCCACACACGTTCTTCCGCCCTCCTATCCATCCCCCCTTCCCGATCACCGTCACCATTCTCCGTCTGCCGGACGATTACCTTTGATCCGAAGCTATGTAAAACAGACGGGAACGGAATTCTTCCATTTCTCCATTACTTTCATCAATAATTCAATTCGTCTTTTGTCTCCACTTTACTCAATTTTCCTTTCGAAGCCGCGTCCTTGCAGTATCAACCTGAAGGTACAATTGAGTCACCAATCTTATGGTTTCATATAAGTTTTTCGTATAATAAATGTATTCTGATAAGATTCGGTGAACAAGCTAAATACGGAGCATGTTTAGAGTCCTATATGACCAAATACAACATTAACCTGTTCTTCAACTTTTAATCGTGAAATCGTCCCAGAAAAAGAGTCCGCTTTGATCAAACAAAGCTAATATTCATGTAACTAAAAAAGGTATGAACAAGTTAAATTGGGAGCATGTTTAGTTAGGGTGTTTAGAACTGATTCTTTTTTAAAGCAGAAGCTGGTACCCCAGTTTCTTAAAAATCTGATTCTAGGAGTAAATTAGAGCACCAGAATCACTTCTGCATTTTCACCCAAACACTCCGACTTCTGCTCCTTCAGGGAGCAGAAGTAGTTTTAAGAATCACATCCAAACACCCCTTAATCAAACAAACAAATTTTAAAAGTATACTAGCCTGTATCATTCCATGACTTTGAAAAAGTTGCAGCTTGACAAAATCTAAAAGTTGTACCTTTAGTAAACATGACTTCTTTTTGGACGGGAAAACAGGTGGCTGGACATGTTAGTTTTGTTACTTTCCACAACGGGCAATAGACAATTTTGGGGAGGTGGGAGTGGGGTGGAGATCATTGGATTTTTTTCTGGTATATTATCTTGTTGGTGGATAATATTAGTGCAATAATTTATGTCTGAGAACAGGGTTATGTTTTTTTAGTATGGAGTATGTATGTGTTTGAGGAACTGACATTAGCTGGAGCTTGTTAGAAGCATGGTGTGCTTTTATTATACCTCCTAATGGACTGAAAGATAATTTGAACTTCTCTCTTACTTTATTGCGAAGGTTGGCATTTCATTGCTCAAGTAGGGGGGATTCGTGGGTTGAAGGGGAGTCTTTGGGGACACAACATGCTCTAATGCTCAAAATCAACTCAAAAAGGATACGTTTGCTTTGTGCTATACTCACACTTGTTAGTGTCTTGTTTCAATCTTATACGTTTTTTTACCAACTGGCAGGGTGGGCTGTCCACCCTTATGAGGAAGCTTTACCCAATAAGAATTATGAGAGGCTTTTGGAGGAAAATGCAAGTGTTGTAGAGAATGTTGACCATTTGGAGGGTATTCAACATGTCCAGTTCTTCACTCCACACATTTCTTTTGCAAGTCAGAATCTATCTAAGAAATCTCTGAGAACAGATGACCAGATTGCTCATGTAAGAAATAGGAGAAATATCGAGCCTCCTTATGTACCTTCTCGCATTCCTGGTAGAAACGTGTCTAATCACATGCTGGTTCGTTTCCCATTGTTTTTGTATTGCTGGCGGAAACGTTCTATGGTCTATTTTGCTGTATTAGTTTACTCTATTGTTTTTTTATTAAATTATCATTCCTTTTAAAATGTCTTGTCTAGAGATATATCACATCATTAACACCTAATGAAGGACTTGAATATGGTAAAAAGGAGATTGAGCATGCCCCGTTGGTTGCTGATGATCCAGACTTGTATGCTCCTCTATTCAGAAACGTTTCTACTTTCAAGAGGTATGTTAATGATGTTCATATTGTTCGTTCTTATATTTTAGAATAATACTGTACTATTAAAATTCGCCAGTTATAATTGATGGAATATACATATTACTTTATTACTTGGACTTTGTATTCTCTTACTTCCTCACATCTCTCTTGTTTTTTTAGTCTTTCTATATTGACTGAATTAATATGCATATTTCTTCAGTACTCGGACTCTGTATTTTCTTACTTTCACCATGTATCTTACTACGTATATTTTTGTCTCCCTATACTGACATGAATTATCTTGTTATGCTTTGTCACATACATTAAATGTTTATCTCCTATTTGAATCTTATCTTTGACTTGCTTTTCTTTTATTTTGCTGAAATTGATTTTACCAAACACCATCCATTTCTGAAAATTTAGCTGATTCAGCCATTTCATTCCATTCCATTCAGATAACCCTTCCATATTTTGTCATGTGAAATGATGAATTAACCCTTTCGGAAACCATACACCAATTTTCCAAGATAGATCAAGATGCCATAATCCTTCTACTAAGAGAGACAGTTTATTTTGTTCCAGCTATCTAAGTAACTATGAACAAAATTGTAAATTGCCCAAGTTAATTAGCACTGAAATTCTTTTGAGTTCTTGTATTTAAGGAGTATGATGCATTCCTCTTAGTTTTTTTGGAAGCAATTTAAATTATTCAGTCATGGCATATTTCTTCACCACAAATTGCATTGAGTTTTTACCTGTACTGAAGGGCATTATTATTCCCACTTATTTCAGAATCAGAATAGCTATCTATTCATTGAATAGTCTGTTCTGTTTGACTTGCAGGAGCTATGAGTTAATGGAGCTCTTACTCAGAGTTTACATATACCAAGAAGGAAAGAGACCTATTTTTCATCAACCACATCTCAAAGGGATTTATTCATCTGAGGGATGGTTTATGAAGCATATGGAGGAAAATCATCAATTCGTTACAAAGGACCCAGAAAAGGCTCACCTATTCTATCTTCCATACAGTGTCAAACAGTTGCAGAGAGCGCTTTATGTACCCAACTCCCATAACCTCAGGCCTTTATCTTTATTCCTACGGGACTATGTGAATGCGGTATCAGCAAAATATCCTTTTTGGAACCGCACACATGGATCAGATCACTTTTTGGTGGCTTGCCATGATTGGGTATGCTAAAGACCTCTTGTATTCATACACATACTACCCTGACAGTGCATATTACTTGGGACATGTTCGCTGTTTCTTTCTCTTTGCATGAAAAAATGTGATATAATTTGCCTTTCTGAAGATCTTGTCTGAATCTTTTCTTTACTTTCTGATATCAACTGGATGTTTTTAGTCGGATCTGGTCTGACCAGGTTTGATCTCGTTTGGTATGAATCTTTTTTTCATGTTTGATATAAATGTTTCCGTAATTTACCTATTTGAAATGTAAATGACATTTGGTGTAGTCTGATATGACCAAAGAACATTCTGATAAGACTTTTGTGTGTGTGCGCACTTTCAGGCTTACTTACCAACATTTTTTTTTGTCTGGTCTAAATCTGGTTTGAATGTTTTTTATCTGATCTAATCTGATTGAAGCAAGACTGGTTAGTAAGCAAAGGGTGAAGAGAACAGCTCATATGTCATTATTTGGTGTTGTTTTGTGTCCTTCAAAAAGTTTCCTGTCACATGTGCACCCTCTCTGTCCTCACCCTTTTATCTTCATTGTGCATTCTTTCAGGGACCTTACACTTTAAAGGATCATGAGGAGCTGCTCAAAAACACAATAAAGGCACTCTGTAATGCAGATCGATCTGAAGGAATATTTGTTCCTGGGAAGGATGTTTCCTTGCCAGAAACCACCATAAAGAATCCCAGAAGGCCCCTTAGGAACCTTGGTGGGAAAAGAGTTTCACAACGCACAATTCTTGCCTTTTTTGCTGGACATGTGCATGGAAGGGTTCGTCCTAGACTTATAAGGTATTGGAGTGATAAGGATGAAGACATGAAGATCTATGCGGCTTTACCAAACAGAGTGTCCAAAGTAATGAGTTATCCTGATCATATGAAATCCAGTAAATATTGCATATGTCCAATGGGGTTTGAAGTGAACAGCCCGAGGATCGTTGAGGCAATATACTATGAGTGTGTCCCAGTTATAATTGCCGATAATCTTGTCCCTCCTTTCAACGATGTGCTCAACTGGTCTGCATTTTCAGTGTTTGTTGCTGAAAAAGATATTCCTAAACTGAAAGATATTCTTCTACGTATTCCTGTGAAACACTATCTTACAATGCAGAATAATGTCAAAAAGTTGCAGAAGCATTTCCTCTGGAACTCACGACCAACTAGGTTTGATTTATTCCATATGGTTTTACATTCACTCTGGTTAAGTAGGCTCAACCAACATCAGTTGTAATATTTGGCCTGAAATTCTGTTTGGTGGATGCTAAGTATGTATGGATATGAGCCAGCTTAAGTTTATCTTAAGTTGGCAGCTATATTCACACAAGTGTGGAAGTGTTTTTATTGTTCTCGAGAAAGTTGATTAATTTACTTGGGTCACATAAAGCCTGTCATATGATGTCAGGTACAACGCCCATGTTCTTTTTTTCCATTGTTGTTTGAGCTACAACCAAAAGAGTGTGGAAGTGAATATTTATTTATCCTGGAGACAAGATTCAGAGCAACATAACATTATAACTTTCGCCACTTTGGTAGCATTCAAGGAGAGATTTCTAGGTGTCTGATTTTCAAAGATTGCTTACTTAATAGACCAAACTGCAGAATACATAGCTGCATGTTGCATCAATGTACATAATGCATAGGATTAGTGTGTTCACTAACCTACTTATACAAAAACTTGATTTAGATGAATTATCCTTCATATTCTATTTTCTTAGTGCTTTCACAGAAGCGCACAGGTACTAGTATATTACAATCTGAATATCTGATGGTATCTATGGATTTTCTTTTTCGTAATCAAGAAACATGTAAACCCATTCTTTTTTATATGAACCTCCAATGGAGGACTTGAAGAAGTTGATGGCTTTTCCACTTGTGCTGATCTTTTTGCTCAAGTGAGAATTCCAGTAGTTCTTGGTTTCATTTGCCTGTTCTCCATGGAAGTCTCCCAGCTATCAAAGATCACCTATTGAAGAATTCATATAAGCTGTCTGCTTTTCCCTAAACAATTCATTCTTCAGCAGGAAACATGAGATTCGTTTGGTAAGGTTTCCTATATTATTCTTTATGTCTTCTGTTTTTGGAAAATTTTGCTTCTGTTTTCCTTCGTTTTGTTTTATAAGCACGTTTGGTGTTGCATATGTAATTAAGCATGTTGGAAATATATGCTCTTCATAAAAATCCAAATATTTTATGAATGCCTAAATCAGAAACATATTTTTAGAAAAATAATAAAAACAAGAAAGTTATGCCTCCAAGATATTTGCAAGTCCTCTTTCTTTTATGCAACTGTCAAAAACATTTTTATTGTTTACATTATCAAATTGCACTAGCATGACCATTTGTGCTGCCAATTTGAAAAGATTGTTCGCCTTACCTGTTTCCTAGTAGTTTATTAAGCCTGCTTCATTTTCACCTATGTTGTCTTTCTTGATGTTTAACCCAAGATAATTTAACCACCTTCACCTGCAGCAGCTCTTCCCACACCTATTCAAACTTGCAAGAACATGAAAACCATAATGGCAAATGCCAAGAGGGCAAAAATAACCTGATTTCAGCTGTCCATGCTCCGTGTACATTCTTTCTAGCTGTTCCGCTCTTTCTCAAGACCATCAGAGAAAGGTTACTGGTTGGTTGTTCAGAGAGGAATGTGGTCCATGTGGACGTGATTGTGTTTTCTGTTTGTGTACTTGCCTCTCTAGTAGAGAGATGCTTGTGTGGTTAGACGACTTTTAAAAACACTTTTTACAAATAAGCTCGTTTCTGACCCAAATGGTAAAACTATTGAATAATCTAAGAAATATTGACATAATATGACTGAGATAAATACTATGCATAGACTAAAATGTGACCTCTTACAACTTGACTATATTAGTAATTTTTAGACAATGGTTATGATAAATTTTATATTGTAGTGACCATAAAATTATACATATTGTAATTCTAGTGTTTATCAATAACTTATGCATGGGAGCCTTTGCAGCTATGGACAATATTTCATGAAAAAAACTCACTACTTAAGCTACTCATCTACCTAAATTAACTTCTTACTTTTCGCTGCTTTTCCTATTTGGTAAAAAGTTTAGGTCAATTTATTCTACCACTCAATGATAGCACAATGTAAAACAATGTTAAACAGTGTTAAATAGTGTCACATAGTAAATTTATGTGACACTATGTCGATAAAAGGAGCATTGCGCGAAGCCAGAAAAGTCAGTTATACTTTTGTTACGGGGACTCTGTGTCATTAATTCAATAAAAATTACTCAAACAGGATAAAATATACAACGTAACTAGTTTATAGACAAGATCATCGTTATTTTCTTCTTAAAATACAACCTATTCATTTTTAAATTGTGAAATTATATTTTTTTATTTTAATAGGATCATATATGTTTTAATTTAGAAATGAAACATAAATCAATATATTTTCTGATGGACCGGGTTTCTCTTACCAACGACCAGGACGAGCCTGGTCCCGCCACTACTAAGACCCATTGAGATAGCGTTTCAAACTGGAAGATTCCCCGTAATTTATTACTCCGTAGTCCGTACTACGAATATAACGAAGGATTTATTACTGGAAGGGTATAGTTTTGTACTCCGAGTTGTATTCACACGCAGCTTACAAAAAAAATGTATTCACACCCATAGAGTGTAACTAAAAATAAAGATAACTATAACTTCTCTTTCCCATACCATTCCTATTTTAATATTAATTTTGTGAAAAACAATCCCATTTTGTCAAATTTAGTAACTTACTTAAAACGTCGAGAAATTCACGAAAAAATTGTAAACAATATGTTAAATTCAGTTAATGTCAAATATTTTGTAACGTTCTTATCTTGACCAAACTTGATTCAATTCTTTTTATAAGAGGGTTGTTGAGACTTATTACTTCCACCCGTAGGCCCAACACGTAACCTAAGGGTTTCGAATAGACGATTTAGTAAGTTAGATGAAGAAACAAGCAAGGGAGGCTCAATAAGAAGTGTTTATTCACTGAAACAATTACAGAGCCGAGAGGCCGTTCGTACAATGTTATGCTACGAGCTGATACAATTGCTATAGTGCTAGAGTGCTAAGGGTAGTTGAATGCGTTGATGTAGCGAACTGTGGATGGTTTGGCCCCAACCACCAAATCTTCTCCATTAAATGCGCTTCCCGCCAGAATCTTGGGTTCCCGCCAACGGATGGGGACGTTCGTTCACAAAAGCTTGATCCCTGCTTCCCGCTGGGTCCAAGGGGTGGGGACGTTCGTCCACAAAAGCTTGCTCCCTGCTTCTCGCTGGGTCCAAGGGTGGGGACGTTCGTCCTCTAAAGCTTGCTCCCTGCTTCCTGCTGGGTCCAAGGGGTGGGGACGTTCGTCCCCAAAAGATTGCTCCCTGCTTTCTGCAGGAACCTTGGCCTTAGGCCTAGGGCAGAGCACAGGTCGGGTTCGGGCGGGTCGGGTTCAAAAATGATAAACCCGTTCGGGTATCGGATTGATAATTTCAAACCCTACCTTATCAAAAAATTTATCGGTTTTTTTTGGGTTGAAGAAATTTGGATTGCGGTCAGGTTGATTCGGGTTTCGGGTCCATTCGGATTTTAATTTATTATTGTTGAAATTGTGATAAATAAAATGGAAATTGATAAAAATATCATTCAAAGTTATACTAGTATATCATTTAAAGTACTGGTTGTATAAATACGGTCATCAACATATTTGAACATGTAAAATAATAATATACGGAGATCGACATAATTGATATTGTGATAAAAAAAATGATAATTGGTCAAAATATCATTCAAAGTCATAACAATACAACATTCAAAGTTATAGTTGTACTAATACGGTAATTGGAATATTTGAACATGCATAATATGATAATTGACATATAATAATTGAGATATTTGAACATGCATAATAATTTAAAGTAGCATATATACTATGCTAGTTAGGTTTTTCAGGCGGATCGGGTAGCCTAATTGGTAACCCTACCCGCTACCCGCTTAAGTCTCGGGTGGCAAAAATCGGATCGAGTTTGGGTATTTCGGGTCGAGTTTTCCGACCCCAACAAAAAATCGGATATATCCGATCGGGTCAATCGGGTAAGGTCGGGTTTGCTCTCCCCTACTTAGGCCCAGGGGTGCAGATGTCTGACTCCATCAGCTTGCCTTCTGCGTTGCGCCTGCCCTACGTGTTGGGGACGTTCGTCCGCGTGAGCCTGCCCTCCGTTGTTCGTTTCTAAAAACGTCCGTAGGGTGGACCTTATGGTTCATGGGCCGATCCATTTTGGGCCATTAACCCAACACAACTCCCCCGCTTTTGATGTTCCGAGCGTGCGCGGGACATAAAGAAGTAGAATTGAATCCGATGTATGTCGCCATCTAATGCCTTTGGCGCTTCCCATGTCATAGGCAGAGGGGTACCTCATTAAAAACTACGCTGAGGATAAAACCCTGTGGGGAAAAATCCTAACGGAGGAAAAAGAGTACACTCCGCTCTGCCACGACGAAGAGAAGATGTTTCTAACGTACTGCCTTTAGCCGACGCCCCTGACGCGACGGTTGCCTGGTGTATCCTTGATCTCCAAACGTCATGCCTTATTCCCTGGATCTCCGTACCCGGTCGTCCATGTTTGTCTTCAGGTTGGGGACGTTCGTCCACCTTCCCACCGCACCGACAGCTTACCGCACCGATTAGTGTTGGATGGAGAACGTTTTATCCTCTTGGGGACGTTCATCCACCTTCCCACCGCACCGGCAGCTTACCGCACTGGTTAGTGTTGGATGGAGAACGTTTTATCTTCTCGGGGACATTCGTCCACCTTCCCACCGCATCGGCAGCTTACCGCACTAGTTAGTGTTCTTGGATGGAGAACATGTTTGTCCTCTTGGGGACGTTCGTCCACCTTCCCACCGTACCGACAGCTTTACTGCACTGGTTAGTGTTCTTCGATGGAGAACAAGTTTGTCCTCTTGGGGACGTTCGTCCACCTTCCCACCACACCGGCAGCTTACCGCACTGGTTAGTGTTCTTCGATGGACAATAGGTTTGTCCTCTTGGGGACGTTCGTCCACCTTCCCACCGCATCGGCATCTTACCGCACTGGTTAGTGTTGGATGGAGAACGTTTTATCCTCTTGGGGACGTTCGTCCACCTTCCCACTGCACCGGCAGCTTACCGCACTGGTTAGTGTTCCGAGATGGAGAGCAGGTTTGTCCTCTTGGGGACGTTCGTCCACCTTCCCACCGCACCGGCAGCTTACCGCACTGGTTAGTGTTGGATGGAGAACGTTTTATCCTCTTGGGGACGTTCGGTAACCTTCTCACCGCAATGGCAGCTTTACTGCACTGGTTAGTGTTCTTCGATGGAGAACAAGTTTGTCCTCTTGGGGACGTTCGTCCACCTTCCCACCGCACCGGCAGCTTACCGCACTGGTTAGTGTTGGATGGAGAACGTTTTATCCTCTTGGGGATGTTCGTCCACTTTCCCACCGCATCGGCAGCTTTACTGCACTGGTTAGTCTTCTTCGATGGAGAACAGGTCTGTCCTTTTGGGGTTGTTCGTCCACCTTCCCACCGCACTGTTAGCTTACCGCACTGGTTAGTGTTGGACGGAGAACATGTGTGTTCTCTTGGGGACGTTCGTCCACCTTCCCACCGCACCGGCAGCTTACTGCACTGGTTAGAGTTGGATGGAGAACGCTTTATCCTCTTGGGGATGTTCATCCACCTTCCCACCGCACCGGCAGCTTACCGCACAGTTTAGTATTCCGAGATGGAAAACATGTTTGTCCTCTTGGGCTCTTGGGGACGTTCGTCCACCTTCCCACCGCACCGGCAGCTTACCGCACTAGTTAGTGTTGGATGGAGAACATTTTATCCTCTTGGGGTTGTTCGTCCACCTTCCCACCACACCGGCAACTAACCGCATTGGTTAGTGTTCCGAGATGGAGAACATGTTTTCCCTCTTGGGGATGTTCGTCCACCTTCCCATTGCACCGACAGCTTACCAAACTGGTTAGTGTTGGATGGAGAACGTTTTATCCTCTTGGGGACGTTCGTTCACCTTCCCACCGCACCGGTAGCTTACCGCACTAGTTAGTGTTGGATGGGGAATGTTTTATCCTCTTGGGATTCCCTGACCTCAGGAGTTATGTCTCCCTCTTCCCCCATTTATTTTTATTTTTATTTTTTGGGAGGAAGGAATTTAGCGAAATGGTGTCACTGATAGGGCTTCTTCCAGCAGCATGTTCGTCCATGGTGTGCAAGAAGAACATCCGACGGGCGTATACCCTGCACCCCGAAGATCACTTGATTTCCAATTTCTTTTTGCGGCCGTCCGGCTCGAGGGATCTCTCCGGGCGTTTATCGGCATGGCGATAACCGACTTTTTGGACATCTGCCTCCTGCCGCTCGTCCATACGCCATGTGAATGGTCCAACTGTTTTTATTCTGAGGGGTCGGTCCCCTTGTGAACTCTCCGAGGTAGCCCCTCCGGACAAGTTCGTCGATGGCCATCCTCAGGCTGTTGCAGTGACCCGTGTTGTGCCTTTCCGTGCGATGGTATTCACAGTAGGCGTTGAGATTCTTTCCCATTGGGCCACCGGTGACGGGCGGCTCTTCCAGCATACCTTTGTCCTTGATGGCCTCAAGGATTTGGATTGCCGTGAATGCCAAGGGGATAAGTCCGGTAAACTCCCGCCGGTCGTCGGATGGACGACCTTGGGTTCCCCAAAGGGCGTAGCCACCGCTCATCTTCTTCTTTTTCATCGCCGGAGCTTCTGCCGACATCGCCCCCAGACGGTCCACTACCTTTCGGATCATAGGGGCGGCCACCCCATCTCTCTGGGCGATCTCCTCTT